GCCTCGGCCATAGGGATGAGGATGCTGTACACGTCGTTGACGGCCTCGTACATGCCGGCCAGGTTGAAGGAGCCGGCAGCGTGCTCCAGGAGACCCACCAGACCGCTCTCCGTGAAATCCTTACCCAGGCAGATGCCCTCCTCCTCCGGGCTCACCACGTCGTCGGACACGGCGCTCTCCTCCAGCGCGTTGGGTGTGACCCTCTCCAGCGCCACGGCGCCCAGCGGCAGGTGCGGCCGCTCCTCCAGCATGTGGAGGTACTCGGCCACGAGCGCAGCAGAGTGCACCAGGCACATGCCGGCCTCCGTGTGGTTGTTGCGCTCCATGTGCTTCTGCGCCATGTTGGCCAGCCAGGTCAGGCGCAAGTCCGGAGAGTTCTGGTAGCCCTTGGCGATGCGGTACATGAGGTCGAGCAGCATCTCCGGGTCTTCCTGGAACTCCTTCATCTTGACCGTGTCCGACAGGATCATGTGCAGGTTGAACACGAGGTCCTTGACTTGCTCGGGGAACGTCGTCTCCTGCAGTTCTGCATCACCACTCGCGTAGACCAGGATGGTCTTCAGCGACCGGCGGAGCGATTCTTCGCTGAAGGTGCGGCTCGTGCCGACCAAGGAGCTGAGCGACATCGTCACCTGCATCTTGACGCGCGCAAAGTTGTTGCCGATCTCGAAGTTCTGCCTCATGAGCAAATACAGCGAGGCGGACGCCTGTGAGCGCACGGCAGCCCTGTTGGAGCTGCAGTGGCGCAGCAGCTGGAGACACAGGTCAGCGCACTGCTCGGTCTCCTCGTCGAACAGCAGGTTGGGGAACTTGAAGACGAGCGCCCGCTGCGTGGCAAACATGTGCCTCAGCACAGTGGAGCTCTGGTGGCGGGCGAGCGCGTGCAGCAACACCTTGAGCACGGCGCCGAGGAGGGGTTGTAGGGCGTCCGAGCGGGACGCCACGGCCACCATCTGCTCCAGCGTGTCCAGGATCACGAGGCTCACCTCCGTGGCCAGGTTGCCCTCCAGGTGCGCGTCGGCCTCCACGTCGGCGGCGGGCCGGTCGCTCGCCTCGGTGTTCGGGCGGTACGCCATCTGCTCCTTGCGCCAGCGCAGGCGCTCCGTGCTGGCGCCTCCAGTCACTCCGGGCGACCCCGGGCCGCCGGGGGACCCGCCGCCGGCGACCTTGTGGCGGAGCATCATTTCATTTCGGGCTGAGCTCTGACCCAGGATCATGTCCTCGAGCTTGGACTTGGCGTCCGTGGTCTTGGCGAGAGTCTGCGGGGCGCAGCGCTTCAGGATCTCGCGCTTGCCTTGGTACTCGAACGTGTAGCTCCCCACGTACAGTGTCTCCAGCAGCTGGTGAAACCGCTGCGGCGGCAGCTCGGTCCACCACTGCTTCAGGAGGGTCTTGTTCATGTTCTTGAGCACCCACAAGAAGCAGCCCAGCAGGTGACGCGTCGTGTCCGCCGACAGGCTGGTCTTCCTGGGCTGGGCGTACGGATCGTACGGCTCCACGGTGCGCGCGCCGAACATGGACGTCCCCGCGATGGCCATGGCCACCGACTGGTTGATGCCCGGCTGCGGCTCGGGGCCGTCCTCTAGAGCGGGCGAGAGCAAGGAGCGCCCCCGCTCCCGCCAGCCGTGCAGCTGGTGCAGGTTGTCCATGACGATGGTGAGGAGGGGCAAGTACAGGGCAGCGACGCGGGCGCGGCACTCCGAGTCTTCGTAGCGGGGATCGCTGTCGTGGCCGGTCAGCAGGTTGCGCACCATGTTCACGGCCTTGGCGTGCAGCTGGGCGTGCGGCAGGGTGAGCACGGCGGCCAGGTCCCCCAGGACGAGCCCGACCAGGAAGTGCTGCTGGCGGAACTCGAGCGACAGCTCGGAGAAGCTCGTCCTGTCCCCTCCCACCAGCGTCGAGATGAACGACGACTGGCTGTTGGAGGAGGTGACGGAGGGCGTGGGCGAGCACGGCGCCGAGCTGGGTGTGAAGGGCGTCCCGAAGGGCAGATTGAGCGGCACAAAGTGCTCGTGGCTGCACACGATCCGGAGGAAGTCCACCTTGAGGCCGATCAGTCCGACAGCGTCGGGCAGGGATGAGATCTTGGCCGACATCTGCTTGTAGTAGGTCTTGATGAGGGACAGCACGTAGCCACGATCCATGACCGACAGCAGGTCAAACAGGAAGAAGGCCAGACTGGCGTTCATGCTCTGCGCGAGGCGTGGATCCTTGCTGCAGCGCGAGATGATGTCGGACGTGAGCGTGGACACGAGGGTCGTCACGTCGTCCGTGAACTGCTCCGACAGGCGGCCGGGCGTCCGCCGGGGCGCGTCCAGCCCGTCCGTGGCGGCGAGGTGCTCCACCATGCTCTTGACCATGAGCTCGAGCAGGAACCACGCGTTAGCCATGGCCAGCTCGCGCGCCGCGCCGCTCGACACGACCCACTGCAGGGCCAGCTCCTCGTGCACCAGGCGCAGCGCCACCACGCTGGGCACCATGTTGGGCCCCACGGCGGTGCGCATGCTGGCCGTGCGGTCCAGCCCCCGCGCAGCCGCGGCGGCGCCGCCAGGGGCACCGCCGGCCGTGGGGGACAGCAGAGCCTCCTCCTCCGCGAGGCCGTGCAGGTTGGGGTTACTGGTGGAGCGCAGCGGCGGCGGGGACAGCCCCAGGTCCGTGAGGGTGGGCTGGGCGGCGCCCTCGGCCGGGTGGGGCAGCGCGCACTGGTACGTGATGTAGGCCGTGAGCAGGCTGTGCCGCCCGTGCTGGTCCCGCTGGACTTCCCCCTGCCCCTCTGGCAGCGCCGTGATGCTCTTCACCAAGCTGGCCAGCGCCTCGAAGGTGGTCTGGCCGATGTTCATGAGCTGGCCGCTGACAGCGGGCGGGCGCACCAGCAGTAGTAGCAGCTTGTCCAGGATGACGGGGAGGAACTTGACGAGCGGCTCGGACTTGGCGTGCGTCAGCTCTAGTATGCTGGCCTTGAGCGCGCCCTCCATGTTGGCCTCGCCAATGCGTGGCGGGATGGACCCGTCCTCGAGAGCGGCGCACAGCCCCAGGAACTTGTCCAAATACTTGTCTTGAGTGTGGACCGAAGACAAGGCATCCAATACGACAACGAAGATGCCCTTGTGGTTGTCGACCCACTTGGTGCCCGGCAGCAGCACATCCGGGGGGATGTACGAGTAGTTGGGCGGCGGGTGCTCCATCATGACGGGCAGGCAGAACTCCCCCGTCTGAAGGCGGCCGTCGCGGAACACTGGCAGCCAAGTGTAGCCGACGGGTGTCTCTACCGTCGTCTTCTCTTCCTTGCGCTGGCAGCTGATGTGGTAGAAGGTGAACAGGAGGTGGTGCTGATCCCCCAGGTTTGCCGGCAGTTTGAGTTTGAACTCGTCGTAAAAGTCAGGGCACTTGCTATGGTAGCTGACGGTGGTGTACGCCTCAGAAGCGAAATCTGGACACGACGATTTGCCGAAGATGACCGACATGGCGTTGTGCTCCTCCTCGCCGCACATGAGCTGCATCTTGACGGCGATGTTACGCGCCGACCCTGTCCGCCCAGCAAAGTTCAGGTCCTTGGGGCTGACGTACAACAAGTTGCGGTAAGAGTAGTGCGGGATGAACATTTCTCTCGGAGGGAACTCTAAGATTTCCTTCGTGGGTCGGCCTTTTTCATCTGGGTAGGGATTGATCCTCGCCAGCTCCGGTGTCAAGCTGTATGGTATGTCATCCGGGCAAGGGGAGATATCCAATTTTAAAGTACCAGGTATACACTTCTTCTTTAAAACTGAACATGGGCGCTTGAGGTCCACCAAAAACTTGTACAAGTCTTCGTCTCTCAGTCTGTCTTGTTCTTGTTTGAAAAAACTCGAAACGGTTAGAGTAACTGGTCGGAATGTATCCAAACTTGAACCAAAGTCTTCAGGTGACCAGCTGCGCCTTTTTTCAGATCCACTGCGCCTTTCTAGAGATCCTCGTCGAGTGAGGGTGCCCATGTCAGAAGCTCTCTTCTTCAACTGCTCTAAACTAGTATTGCTGTGTTTCCGGTCCAAGCTGTTGGAGGCACTACCTTCTTTGTCACTACCAGAATCTCGCTCAAGGCTGTTTACACCGCTTATAATGTTCATGACATAAATTGCAGTCCAAGCAAAAGGCATCCGGTACTTTCCTAGCCTTTCACAAGCTGCAACAGCATTTGCTTTAACTTTCTCACGGTTTTTGTCATCTTTCATGTATGGTTCAGCACATTCATTAATATCACCCTGTAGAACCTTTTCAAGTTTTATGACAAGAAACAAATCAGGCGATGGATAAGTAATGTCAAAAATGCATGATCTGCTCAAGGTGCTGCTGTCACTGTAAGGTATATGAGATGTTAGCATTCTTTTGAGGCCTTCCTGATTCATGTCAAAATAAAAGTTTTCAGATATCTTTTTTTTTTCTTTGCAGTCATATAGTGCAATTGATGCGAATATTGGTTCCACTTCCAATTCTAGCTTAAGCTGAAGACATTTCACTAGGATACGGTGACCCATGTGCTCATTTGGAATGTCTGCTGAGATCCTTCTTTCAATCATATCTTCTTCATCTTGCTGTGGATACAATGAGAATAAAGCATCTTGCCTCCCCTCTTGCCGACGGGATTCATTGAGTTTGTCAATAGTCTCAGGTGCAGTTCTTTCAAGGAGACCTGATATCACAGGATCACTAACTGAATTCTGGAGATCAAAACTGGCCCAACTCCCTCGAGGGGTGTCAGCAGATGTGACTGACAAACGTCCCGATGGATTAGCAGTTGGGACTGCTTCTCCATCAACCTCAAATTCTTGATGGGGGATATTTTGCAATGTTGTGAGACGTTCCTCTGATCTGTCTTGGGAAAAAGCACTGCTAGAATGGTGACGAAAACGATAATCTACGACTATCCAGTCTCGTGTGTAACTTTCGACACAATCACGAACTTGAGGAGAGAGTTCAGATAGAGGTTCTTCTGGTAAAACTGGTGCTTCTGTGCGAATTTTTCGTGGAATCACTCCAACCTAACAAGAGAAACAAAAAAAAAAAAAATACAAGAATTAATTGAATAGAAAAATAAACATGATATCATATGTGAAGTGACTCACTACTTACTTCAATATCATTCACAGGAAAATCAAGCATAGGCCGGAGAGGGTCACGGTCAATAAGGAGTTGATGTTGCTGGATAAAGTCCTCATAATCGAGAGGATCGACTACATCACCAAGAGAAACAGTAGAAGATAAACCCGATGCTCCACTTCCTGTCTTGGTGGCGTCCCTTGAATATGATGTAGCGGCTATTTGACGCCTTACATCAGAGGCATGTTGTTTTGTCAGTTTCTGGGCAAATGCCCGCTGTACAGATCCCATCGTTCTGCTTGAACTTTAATTTCTAAGTGCAAATCCTCATTTCTGTAAGCAAACAAAATATACAAAAACATTATCAATGTCCTTGAAAGGAAAAACCTAAAATCACACCACTCCAAATGAGGCAAAATACTTTGTAGATTACAGATGCAAAATCCAAAATAGAAACATATATCAAAAATCTAAAATTACTACTATAATTGAGAGGATAGGTGTAGTGATAACAGTTGAAATGAAGTATTTTGGGATGTTCATCCTAGAAACGTGACCTAAGGAATAGGTGGGTTTATTAATCAAAAATGACAATATTAGGAAATTTACTCACTTGAATGATATTGAAATATTCAAATTCTTCTAAATAGAAATGGTATGGCGTGAGTCATGTCCATTTCACTACTTTCTTGACAGACGCTCCTTCACAAAAACAACAACAACAGAGCAGCAGCAACAGCAACAACAACATGATTTAAAGTTACAAAGGCTGTGTCACAGGAAAAATCAGACAACTTTCTTCCTCTCCGATAAAAAGCAATTGAAAGATTTCCAGCACTCTTGAAAATTTGATGGTTTTCCTTTATTACTCTTTTTCATTTTTTTAAAAGCATTCTTCAATTCAATCCTAAAACAAAGAAAACATTCAATATGATGATGATAATTTTTTCTAAAAGGTTGGTAGCTTCTTGAGTTAGCTTACTTAACATGTAATGATGACAAATTCACATATGACTCGTCGTCGAACTTCTGCTGCTGCTGTAGATCTGATCCTGTAAACAGAATTTTGTCTACGCACAACACTTTAGCTGGTTTTACCCGTTTTCGTCGGCGTTAAACTAGAAGGTTCCATAGCTGCCGAGATCCGATACAGTTAAACTTCTCAGTGAAGTAGAAACGTCAGTTCGTCAGAATGCAGGTCGGTGACAACGCTAGCGTGCCATGGGCTTAGTTTACCTTATATGGTCACGATGTATGTTGTTCGCCCGTAGGGGGTTGAGAATACAGACCATGCTGTTTCTAATTCATAAAACTCAAGATTTACACAATTCTTATAATCTGACAATGTATAGTGTTAGATCTATTCATTTTCCAACTATCTTTTATTCTTTCCTCTAACCTCAAGTGAACTCAGCAAGCGTGAACACTGATTCACTCAGTCATTCTAAATGCTTTACATCTGCATAATTTTTATGTACAATTTTCTTTAGGACCCTAATGAGGACACAGAATGGAATGACATTCTAAGAGCCAAGGGTATCCTCCCAGCTAAAGAGAAGGAAGTTACAGAAGATGATATCATTGACTTGGTTGAGAAAACAGTCCAATCTAAACTGGGTAATGGTAAGTGGTTAGAAGCATTAAAAATTGAAACACAAGCAAAATGGCACACTGCAAGTTTTTCAACTTTCTATCGATATTTTGGATGTCTTCGTGTTTATTATTCTCATATTGTTTAGGTGAGAAAGCAATTGAAGAACGCACTCTTGATGAATTGGATGAGCTGGAGGATGAAGAAGATGATGCTGTTTTAGAAGAATATCGTCGCAAACGCATTGCTGAGATTAAAGCCCTTGCCTCAAGATCTAGATATGGAGAAGTGAAGGAAATCAGTGCAGTTGATTATGTTCCCGAGGTGAACAAAGCGGGGGAAGGTGTTTGGGTTGTATTGCATCTTTATAAACAGGGGTGAGTACCTATCTCTCACACTTTCAAAAATAATTTAAAAATCTAATGCAATCTTTAATCCTCCTGATGTCTTTATAAATTTTCAGGATTCCACTTTGCGCTCTTCTAAACCAGTACCTTGCAGAATTGGCAGTAAAGTTTCCTGCTACTAAATTTTTGAAAAGTATTTCAACAACTTGCATCCCTAATTACCCTGACAAAAATTTGCCAACCATGTTTGTTTATCAAGAAGGGGAAATGAAACAACAGCTTGTGGGACCAGTTGCTTTCCGCGGCATGGGTATCACAGTCGAAGGTACAATCTTAAACTATTTTTTCAGGTATATGTAATACTTTTGTTATCTTCTATCTGATTTGGAATTTTTGTGTTGCAGAGTTAGAATGGATGCTTGGGCAAACAGGTGCCATTGATTCACCAATAACGGAAGATCCTAAACCAAAAGTGCGGGATGTCCTCTTTCAGTCTCTACAATCACAGAAGGATGAATGCAATGATTGGTGATTGAGCTTAACACCACTCTCCCACTCCCAGAAAAGTTGATCTTGTCTTCATGAATATATCATGGCTTCCATATTTCACTTTGTAAACAGTATTTCCCTCCCTCTATTTATCATAATTGAATGAACTTATTTGACTAAAATGATATTTTTAGGCTTGGCCAAAGATTTTTGAACTTGTTTTTGCTTATAAATGTCTTGTTTTTATATTAATCTAATATAAATATTTGTAACAAATTTTTATATGTACTGTAATTTTCCTTTCTATTTGGAGACCGACTGAGACTTAATGAGTATGTTAATCATTTACTCACATAGCTTTTATAAAATATTTCTTCAACCTATTTGGTCTGCAAACATCACCTACACAGGGTAATTTTTAAAAAGGAAATAAAAGTACAAAGATTGCTGTGCATTTTGTCATAGTTGATTTTTTCTTGCCGTCCCAAGTGTACTTGATCGAAACTGTATCACTAGATTTTTCAACCATCCTCAAAATATTGCAAGGATACACTGTTGATGCATTTAACTTAGTGCAGATGAGCTTAAAATAGTCTTTATAGAGAGAGCCTTAATGACAAAACCTATAAAACTGTCTGCTGAATTTGTCATAGTAAGTGGGCTTCCCTGCTGGGTCCACGACCCATAGTTTCGTTTATACACATTTTTTAAATAGAATGCGATCATTTTTAAGAAAAGGTAACATTTATTTCAATTAATTTAATTCATATTGAAAGACAGAATATAGGCTGAACCGAATAATGATGTCGAAACGGTGGTGGGGTGCAAGTGGCAGCCCTGTTGTTTTGCCAGTGCTAGTAGCAGAAGACAGAACCAGATAGAGGATCAAGAGGAAAAGTTTCTCCTTCGTTATGCCGGCTGCTACATTCTTCAGAAGATTGCCCTTAAGATGTGCAGCGAAACAGTTCCACACTACATCCCGGAAACGAAAAGGTTTCATGGTGACAACGCCGATATTTTACTGTAACGCAGGTGCTGAATACTTTTATCTCCTTGTCCATAACCCCTCTGTCAAAGTATCAGTTTTCTTATTGTTTTCATATGGATCACATAACACCAATATATTTGAACGTTTAGCTCCGCACATTGGTCATCTTTACACAGCAGTACTTGCTGACGCTGCTTCCCGGTTCCATGAACTTTTGGGAGAGGGAAACTCAGTCTTCGTCACTGGTACCGATGAGCATGGAACAAAGATATATCAAGCTGCAGAAGCCAATAAGATGTCACCAAAAGATTTCTGTGATAAAATATCTTCAGAGTACCGATTGTTATTTTCTGAGAGTGAAATCAAGCACACTAAGTTCATACGAACCACCCAAGCTGAACACATAGAGGCAGTAAACAGCTTTTGGGTCAGTCTACTATGGAGAAATATATAAATAACTATGTTTTACTGTCAGTTTCCTATTAAAATTTAGGTGATTCCCTGATTTACAGAGAAAGTTGAAAGACGGTAACTTTATATACAAGGGTACCTATTCAGGTTGGTACTGTGTTGCTGATGAAGCTTTTTTATCTGACACCCAAGTGAAAGATGGGCCACACTCAAACGGAAAACCCTGTAAAGTATCAGTGGACTCAGGGCAACCAGTTGAGTGGACTACTGAAGACAATTTTATGTTCCGCCTATCACATTTTAAAAATGACCTGCTACATTGGCTTCAAAGAGGTACTTAAATTCAAAATTTATTATTTAAAAATATGTCTCAACGTCATTACCAGAATATAAGTATGTGAAATCTCTTTTCATCCAGAAAATGTAGTAAAACCAGAAAATTTTCAAAGGGCCCTTGTGAAGTGGCTAGAAGAAACAGAATTGGAAGATCTTTCAATTTCACGTCCAGTAAGCAGAGTCCCATGGGGTATACCTGTTCCTGGTGACTCTAATCACACTATTTATGTTTGGTTAGATGCTCTGGTTAATTACCTAACTGCAGCGGGCTTTCCCAACCACACCAGTTTTCACAATAATTGGCCTCCTAGTCTGCAGATTTTAGGAAAAGACATCTTGAAGTTAGTATCTAAAATTCTAGTAGAGGCACTTCTAACTGATTGTTTTTTGGTCATAACTAGTACAACAAAAAATTCAGTTGAAGGACCAAAATATTAAATCAAGCCTGAATAATCTTTCTTTTATTTTGTAGGTTTCATGGAGTTTATTGGCCTGCATTCCTCTTAGCGGCAGGTCTTGAGCTCCCTAAGCAGTTGCTTGTACATTCTCATTGGACTGTGGAGTCTGAAAAAATGTCAAAGTCTCGGGGGAATATAGTCAAACCTCCTTCTCCATCTTATGGTGGTTCATTGAAAGAACTCACAGCAATGCGTTATTTCCTCCTTCGGACGGGCACACCTCATAAAGATAATAGTAAGTAGAATTTCGAATGTTTAATTGAATCCTTCATAATGGCTATGTGCTATACTATCTGAAAATTTCTAGATTACAGTAATGATTCCATGGTTCATGAGGCCAACACAGATTTAATGGGAGCAATTGGAAATCTTCTGAATCGATGCACTGGTTCAGTCTTGAATCCAACTCAGGAATTTCCACCCTTAAAAGAAAAACTTCCTGACTGTCAAGAATGTCGAGACTTAATGATTTCAGTTGAAAATTTATCAGGTAATCTCTATGATTGTATTTTTCATACTTGCTCTATCAAGTAGCCAATAATTATATGACTTATTTCTTACAGTTGTAGTTAAGAAACATTATCAGGATTGCAATTTTTACCTTGGTATCATAGAAATCTTAAGAGTCATAGATTCAGCAAACCAATTTTTTACCTTAATGGCACCTTGGAAGTATTGCAAGGAAGATATTTCAAAAGGAGTTCTTTTTCCAATAATACATGTCACAATGGAGGCCCTTCGAGTTTCTGGAATAGCCCTTCAGCCAGTCATCCCTTCCTTGGCATCCACTCTCCTATCAAGACTTGGTGTGCCTGAAAGTAACAGAGAGTGGAGTGATATGGAGAAAATAAGTTGGAATGGAGGAGCTTCAGCATCTGGTTATAAACTAGGATTGGGACATATTAAATTGTTTGAAAAAATTGGTGAAAAAGTGGATGAGAAAAGTGTAAAAGTACAGCCCAAGAAAAAATCAAAAACAATACCATGAAGAGCAAACTTTTAGACTGACAATATTCTTCCTGCTTTTACATCTTCTGTACAAAAATATCCACCAATAGAAAAGCATTTCTGAAAAATAAAACTTAAAAGGTAAGGAGTTCTAATATGTAAAAAAATGAAGTAAAGCTTACTACATTGACAACAGTCCCTTTGTTTTATTTTTTATTTACTTCATTAAATATTTTCCTACACAAATTCACAAAGCTAATCTTTCCTCAACCCAGGAACACGATATAAGAATTCACCATCATCTGTATAGAATCTATCCTTGATTCTATATAAAGCACCTTTCTTCCACAATTCCTTAGGTATCACAATTTGCAAGGGATAGCTCTCTGAAGATTGTGATAGGTAGTCCTTCACAGCCAAAGTTAAAGTTTTATTATCAAGATCTGTTCTCGTGAGTTTTGCTGTCTTAAAGCTTGCAAGAATCTCCTGATCTTGTTTATGTTGGGCTCTAGAAAGTCTTGATACATCAACAAACTTGTGAGCAGTTTTCAGAACCTCATTTTGAGCTTTGTGCGATGAATCTATTTCTTCTACCATGTGCAGATCATTATCTATTTCAATTTTCATTGATTTAGGTAAATGGTCCTGAATTTTATTTTCCTGATAGTTAGTGTGCGCCTTCCTCATTTCACTTGTGCTGTTGACATTCCCTCTAATAGGATCCCTTAACAGGTCATAAGAATTTTCTGCTGCATGTTTTTTTATCTCATCTTGAATAAAGTTCTGTTCATCATGGGATAAATTGTCATTAGATGCATTTTGCAAGACTCTCTTCTTCATTTCATCAAGAGGTAAAATACTTTTAGTTCTTGTCTGAACATTTTGAACAGATCCAGGAATGATAAAAGTCTCGGATGGAGGATAGTGAAGAGATTTCAATCCTTTATCTATAGAGGTTTCTTCTTTAGTTTGAATATCTTCTGTTGTATTTTTTTGTGTTAATTTATAACTTTTATAGATACCCCCAAACACCCCACCATCTTTCAAAATGTCTTTTGTCGGATTATATTCATTTTTCTTTGGAAGGGCAACTTCAGAAGGTGAAAAACATAAACAGATGCATTAGTGGTACAGTTGCAAAAACAGTAAAAAAAGTTTTAAGAACAACATAAAGGACATACAGGTTTACATAAACCGTGCTAACTTTTGCTTACCTTGGCTATAGCTAGTATTTTGAGCTAATTTACTACGGTTAGAAAAAGTTTTAAGATGCTTTTTTAGGTCCTCGCTTGGCACATCTAATGTACCATTTTCAAGTGCCTTCCAATTCTTACGAACTCTACGATCATGATTTTCTATGTCCTCTTGTGTTCTCAGTTTCCAATCAGCTGATTCTAGGACTTTCTGTAAATAAATAAAAAACAAACCAAGTTAAGAATAAATAATTGTGGATGATAGAGGGCATCAAGTACCCGTTCATAAAATTGTGTTGCCGACAGAACTTATTACCTTAATGACTGACGGCGATGCAGGGTAGCTAAATGCTAATCTCATTACAGTCCATTTTTCGGGATCTTGGGAATGAAGCGCTTTGATTTCCTGCTTTTCATCCCATAACAGCATGTTTGGGTATTTTTTTCCTTTGAATTGCTTCCGTTGAACTTGATAGATTTCTAATAGTTCCTTCTGAATGTGCTCTTCCCTGAAATTAAACAAAACTGCGATAAACATTTCACTGATTCACCACTAGTGCACAATGGTCTGTATAACCTATAATAGAAATTTACCTTTCAACATCATCCAAAACTTTGTCAACACTCCAAAATTGTTTCTCCATATCCTCCAAAACATTAGGATCACTGAGATCTTTCTCGGTAAGCTGCAGTGCCTCTATCTGAGAATCAGCTCCAGGATTACGTCCAAACAGGTAATCATAATTTTCTCTGGTTTTCGGTTTGTCTTTCTTCTGAAACTTTCCACGTTTCTTAAATGAGGCACTGCTGTAAAAAACTGAATTTTTAATGTAAGATGCGGCGAGGAAGCCTCTTCGAATGTTGAGCATTTTACACAAATAAACAATTAAAAATAGCAATCAATCGTGTATGCTTCTGCTTTGTTGTTATCGTGGTTATCGGCATGCACGACGACGAATATGTGTCGTAGAATTTTTCATGGAAGGGGAAAGAAGCTCTCGGGAGTATCAAGGAAGGAACCGTTTTAGGTTTCCCATAAGGCGCAAAGCCTCGTTTGACGTAAGCGAAAACATTGTCTGCCTGTATAGTCGTAATTCGTCTGCTTTGCTTTGAGTTGTTCCGTATGGGAATTGTTTTGCAATATCGGAATCATTTCGCATCTTTTGTGTTCAGAAAATAGAAATTGTACTCCAGTGAATGATCTACCGACCACCCTCCCATATCTGTAAGTAATGCAATCCATCTAAATGAAAATGTCGAAATGCTGCGTGTGTGGTTTTAAGAATCTGCTCCAGTTTTCGGCCTCCACTATTGCAAAATAATGTCAACTTTTATGTTTTGTCAAATTGTCTATGAACTTGTCAAACGTCAACAACCCGCGCGTTTTGTCGTTTTTGTCAGAATATGTCACTTTGTTTCTCTTTAAATAGAAAAAGTGTGCCAACAAATCAATTGCAAGTTATTGTCGACACACATATTGAATTTGTTTCCTTTATAACTGAGCATAATACTGCATGTCACAAAACATGTCTAATTCATGTAAGCTATAATCATTGCTTTAGTCTTATTTTTCGATGATTGCATGCTTGGCCCCTTCACAGTCCATGAAATCATGTTCTGACACATCAGATAAGTGTAATTTGGCTTCCTTGCGTAGTTCATATTGATAAAATAACAAACAATAACAGAATTACAAAGCGGTGGAATGCCTTTTGCTACTAAATTTGTTTTTCCTCCTGATATTAATAATTCGTGGACTTTGATTCCCCTGCTCCCTTAACCCCGTGGTGTCCAAAGAGCTAGCGTGTTACCAAAATAGAAACAGCAGTAAAATAGGCAGTTGTTGGTTTGACTGGAAAATTTTTATTCTCCCAGAAGTTACACGGTGGCTGATGCATGGTCTTCTGGCTTCTGTTGGTCATCAAGTTCCATAATATCAGCAGAAAATGGAAAATACATATATACGTGGGGAAAAAACTTCGTGGGGCTCTGCCCCACAGCAGCAGGTGATAGATGATTCATAAATCAATTACTCCCCGCATGTTCCCGCCAACAGCACTGCAGAGATCGGGGTGACGGTGCTCCTTATCAGAATACGCACCACGGCACAGTCCTATCAGCAACTGAGAAGGGGGACCGGG